GCACAGGATATTACCAGTATGTGTAAGTTTAATTTTAAACCAAAATATAAAAATGATAATTTTCTGTAATCCAAGCACCATCCCCAGGTAGTCTCACCTTCTGGCATTTGGTGATCAGAGTCATTGTTGAATTGTAAGGCATTTGTTTCCTTTTCTCTTCCAAGACTTTCTGCATACATAGCTATTGGTCTGATGAGTTCAAGGGCACCCAAACATTGCAAGTTGTTACCATTTAGATAAAGATTGCTGTGACAAAAATACAATTGTAAATATTTTATTGATGGTTCCATTACATTTAAACTTAGAAAGTATTGCAACTTTCTTTTTTCTTTACTTGTTTTTTATAACAATATTGTTGAAACTAAAATTATAGTAACTGTAAAAGAAAAAATGAGGATAAATACCAAAGAAGCTCAATTAAACTTGAATTGGACTTAAAACTCTGAAAGCTGATTTCAAAAGTTCAAATTGCAGATATAATAAAATCAAATAGGGATAATGACAAAGATAAAATATAGCTTTTAAGAATGAGACTCAATTTCTCAAGAATGACTGTTCAAGTGGCCCAAAGTTCATGCTTAAATTTTAGGCATATAAACAGTGCCATTACATTAGATATGTCAGCAGTTCCATCAACAACGTGATTTATCATATGCCCTATGTTAAGTAGGTGTATAAATACTTTTTTGGATTGGACTGTTTTTCTAAATGAATACATTTTTGCTGCCTCCTTCGAGTTGGGGCTGGGAATGTCCAGAATCCTGCATCATACATCCAGGAACAAGAAAATACCATTAAAGGAAAATTTCCTCCAGCCAAGTCAGAGAGTAATAAATAAACAAATAAATAAATGGGAAGGGGGGGGCCTTCTTTCCCCTTGAAAGTGACATGAATGTCAATTGCATAAAGTATGACTTGTTGGATTATAAACATTCACTTTCGTTCATTTTAGATCATTTCATAAAAGGTTTGCTGGATTATAAGGAGTCTAATTTAATTTATCTGCATATCTTCCTTAAGTTGATTAAAGAGCTGACCAGAGTAACTGTTAACACAATTTAAGGAAGATATGCAGATAAATTAAAGAGCTGACCAGAGTAACTGTTAACAGCTTTGGGCCAAGCAAATATTACAGAGGGCTTATCGAGGCAAAGAAAAGATTTATTATGAAATGTATAAGGCTAGGAAAAAGACTGCTCAAGATTATTGAAGTCCCCAAAAGGCTGAGTGAAATGACATTTTTGGTCAATGTCTGCTACACATATTGTCTTTGAATAGTACAGAGAGGCTCCCCCCTCACCTTTCTCTCTCCCGATATAGCCTGCAAATGAACTTCCAAAGGGAAAATAATCTTGGATCATTTTAACACTCCCCCTTGCGCACATACTTTGTAATGGGCTTTTAGGATCACATTCTATTTCTTACATTCATTATATCAATGTGTAATTTTCTCTACATATCACATGATACATGTCACATCTTCTGTGTATGTCAGAGTTCATTAGAAACATTAACATTAAAGCACATAGTAAGACATTCTCATAGCATACAATATGGATGTTAATGGGAAACTGGTATCTGGTGAGCAGTATCCAGCTGCAGTGGGGGAAGGGTGGGTTGTCACTTCCGGTCCTGCGCAGGGCTGCCTATTCTAGCACCGCATAGGACTGGGAGCCAGCAGCCCTGCATGAGACAGGAAGCAACCAGGCTGGAGCAGCCTTCATGTGCTTAACGTAACATTTAACTGGTTAACTAATTAAATGGGATTTTATAAATTTGCAGACAGATAACATCATCATGGCAAATCCCAAAGGAATATACTCACCTTGCAGGCAGGCAATCACACAAATCACTGACTAGGTCTTTAAAGATGGTCAGACTGGATAATCAATTTATGCTCACGACTGGCAATCATATCGCACCACTAAAGCTTTTGGGGACCATCTCCTGGTCAACCCAATTTGCTCATCTTCTGACTTGCAATCATATTGCACCACTAAAGCTTTTGGGGACCATTTCCTGGTCAACCCAATTTGCTCATCTTCTAACTTAGTAACACCTGTACTAAATAAGCCACTAATACTGAATCAGTGTTTATGCAGGCAGTTGGTAGGATCTGCTATGAACATCATCATTTCTGATCATATCTAGCTACTAATGTGGAAAAGCTGCCAAAAATGATAAGAATCAATGGCATCCATCTGCCACTCTTCAGCCTTCCTCAGTGCCCATCTTTCACGGCATACAACAGAGATGGTAGGTTTTTGGTTCTATAGAGCCACAGCTTTGTAGTACGTCTGATGTCACAGTGCTCCACAGAGGCTGCTGAAGGCCCCAAAACATGACAGCAGCTGCTGCTAGGGAGTATCCACATCTTTGGAGCACCCTCCAGCACTACCCATTATACTTTAGAACAGGGGTTCTCCAAACTCAATGCACCACAACAAAAATTACTACACAACCCCAGGAAGGGGGATTGGGCCACCCAAACCCTACTGCCCTGGACACGGGGGGCCAAAGCTAGAACTCAAGGGCTTTAGTCACCAAGGGGAGGCCTGTAACCAGAGAGTTGCCACACAGGGTGAAAGCTGTCGGATTTTGGCCCCAGGCCCCAGAAAACCTAAGGCCAGTCCTGGTGATCCCATTTAAACAGGGTTGCAACCCACTTTGGGGTTCCAACCCACAGTTCAAAACTGCTGCTCTACAAGAATTTGACGGTTGCTTCCTATTTGCTGTTTTGGACAGGTTAATATTGAGCTTGTAATCTGGAGGTGGAGGATGCTTGACAGTAACAGACAAGGACTCGGTTGTATCCCGAGAGCATTGCTTCTTGTCTGATCAGCTCAGCCCTCAGCTTGCCGTGATTCACTGAATGGAGCGAACAAGACAATCTCACAGCAGAGTCATGCTCAGCTCAACAGCACTGACAGCTGCCTCCTCAAGCCCATCCATCAGTCAATGTGAGCACTGAACATCAAGAGTGACAGAATGCAGCTCTGTTGAAGTCTGGCGGAAATAAGAAAGGATGCCATAGATCTGCCATTGACTCAAACACAGCTTTCTGTTCCATGGGCCCTGAGTTGTGTGGGCCCATGGTGTCCTGGCACCCAGGAATATTCCTGGCTCGGGGCTGGGGCTCTCCCTGTCCTGCCGCCCCATGTGCTTTAAAATGCTGAGGGGGGGGGGCCCTACTGCCACGGGCAGAGCAGCAGAACTAAAGCATCTTCCTGCCATTTACTCCCTGCCGCTGCCAGCACTTCCATGTGGCCCCTAGCCAAGGGGAGAAGGGGAAGTGTGTGTGTGTGTCTCCATGTGCTGCTCCTGGCAGCTGGAGCAGTGCACGTACATACCCTCCTCCTCTCTGGCTGCAGGGACTCACGTGCCAGCAGCCAAGCGGAGTGAGCAGCAGGAAGCTGCTCTAGCCCTGCTGCACTGCGGTGGTGACAGCAGGGCCCCTGGGACTTTTTAAATAGCCCAGAGGTAGCAGGGGGGCTGGCGGATGCCTGGTGGAGTGTGCACAGGGCAGCAGTGTGCAGTAATCCCTGCTACCCTCAGAAGCCGTTACCAAACGGGGTGCCGCAACCACCTCCACCGCATCACCTCGCACGCCCCACTCCCTCGAGAGCCTACATCCTACCCCCAAACTCCTGCACCCCATCCAGCACCCAAACCTCCCTCCTGCATCCCCACCTCATGCCCCAGACCAGAGTCTGCACCCAGACTCCACCCTGGGGCCTGCACCCATCACCGCCTCCTACACCTACGTTCCCTCTCAGACCCTGCATGCTGCACCCCAAGCCCCCAACTCCATCCCAGAGCCTGCATCCCAGACCCCCTCCTATAGCTCAACTCCCCCCAGAGCCCCACCCTCACCCCTCCTGCACCCAAATGCCCTTTGAGATCCCCGCTTGCACCCCAATCCCGTCCCAGTCCAGAGCATGCATCTGGCATCCAAACTCCCTCCCAGTGTGTTAGGCAGTTGAGAGAAGGAGGGAGTCTGAGTGGGGGATGGGTACAGGCTCTGGGCACCACCAAAATTTCTGCAAGCCTGCTGCCCGTTCTGTTCCATTACACAGCTCTTTTGTCAATGACACGGTCTTTCGAGGGATGGTGAGCTGCCTTATCCTACACACTTGTTTGATGAATTCAATCGAACGTCTGACAGAAGTCTCTACAAAGTGCTTCAAAGAGCATATTAAATCCTTCCATCTTCTCCAGAAGTAGTGTCACAGTGAAGAGCTAGTTGGTATGTGGAATGACCAGATCTGACACTTCACAGAGTATCCTCATGGAAGTGCATTAGTGATTTGAGAAAATAACACAGCAGCAGAGACTGTGCTCTATGACAGACAATAGCATAATGCAGTTGCTACATTCAGCCATATCACCTTTTTTAACAGGTGCACAATGAACACTTTTTTCTTTCAGTCACCAGGAACGATACTCATGTGAGAGATGATCTGGAAGAGCCTGTGCAGCCACAGTACAACAATCCTCTTGTTTGTCTTCAGCAATTAAGGGGTGAAATTAAAACTTCCAAGTGCCTTTCCAGACTTCGATGTATGGACTGTGAAACAAATTTCTTCTAGGTTGAAGGAACGTGGGTCTGCTTGTACCTCTAGTCCCACATCAAATTGAAGACTGACTGCAGGCGGTGGAAAACTAAGGAATATCTTGAAATGTCACCCCTAATTATCACCCCTAATGTCATTACCTCACAGAAACTTCCCCTATTATCACCCCTATGTCATTACCTCACAGACACTAACCTTCCCCCGACCACCACTCTGTTCTAAAATTTGATTTGTCAATTTCACATGCGTTAATTTTTTTTTTAACTGTATCACTTTGGTATATATGGTTGTGCTGATTTTCTTCCACATATTGATCTGAGGAAGCGGGTCTGGCCCACGAAAGCTTATCACCTAATAAACCATCTTGTTAGTCTTTAAAGTGCTACATACTTCTGTCTTTTGAAATGATCTTATCACTGATGCAGTTGTTCTGACTCCAGCTGACGTTATTCATTCTTTAATGGACGAGAGGTTTCTCCATTTCCTGCAAACACTGCAAAGTTGACGAGAAGCTGTGAAGATCATGCCTGAGGGCAGCCTTTTTTAAACTAGCTGCCTGAGATGACCACCCGGGTTCCTTAACTGTCTTAAACAACGACTTCATGTTCCAAAGTTGAACCCAGTTGGCCTTTGCTTTTGCTCTCAACAAATGTATCTTAGAACACTCAAATTGTAGACTGGCTTTTTGCTTAGCTCCAACTCAGTAAGCGTATCTGTTCCATGGGTGACATTCGAAGGGCTGAGGCCCCAGCACTGAACTGGCAGCGGTAATGACTTGAAACACCACTCCTCAGAGAGACTTCAGACTGGAGTGTCAACAGTCTTAAGCAGCTGAGAACAGAAGGTCATCTGATAGAACTTCAAGAAGAACTTTGGGTTGAATCAGACTAATTTTGGCTCTTTAACTGTCTGTCATCAAAGCTGGACTTTTTAACGTAATGTGTAAGCCAGCTCAAATTGGTTAAACCTGAAGCACAAAACAAAATGTGAACTAGCAATAATCTCTCTCCCGGGGAAAATATTACAGATTTAATTGGAAAAAACAGGCAACTAACATTTTTAGAAAAGACAAATGATGTAATCACAAGACAAGTTAAATAATTCCAGTAGAAGTTTTAAACTTACCAAATAGCTGTTTGGGCTACAATGGAACCTAACTTGGACCCACTTTCAGGTTCCAAACTGCAGTAGCATAAGCTAAGAGTTAGAAGTTTTCTGTTTCCTTCTAACCCACACAGAAGTCCATTGATTCCTTTATCTTCAAAACTGTAAAAGAGGAGAACGGACTAATAACGGATTTTTGCATCTTGAAACATACAATAGTCCAGTCTGTGTTCAAAAAGCCATCACTTACAACAAAAGACCTCAGCCACTGCCAGCTTGTTGTAAACCTCCCTCATGTTGGGTAAGAGTATTCATGGAGCTGACCCCAGCTGTTCCTGACATCTGCCAATAAATCCATCTTTACCTAGTCAGGAGCCCATACTTTTCACTTTCAAATGCAGACATAGCTGCTGCGGCCCATCCCTGCCTCCAGACTAGGTTTCTGGAGTGCACTTGACTTGTGGCTGAATGTAAAGGTGTCATGAAAGCTGCCGTTCAATACACACTAACCCAACTATTAGGGACCTACAAATAGACCTTAATCTTGTGCGCTGCTTCAGATCGTGGTTCTAATTTTTAAACTCCAGAGTGGGTTAGGGCCAACCTATATCAGAGACAGTCTCTGTCTCTCCACTCTCCACAGCAGCTATATTCAACAGAGACACTGCAGCAGACAGCCCAGGGTAACTCGTGGAGGCAGCAGACACCTCATACAGCTGAGTAAGACTTCTGATCTCCAGAGATAGGCAGAGTTTCAATTTTGGCAAACTGAGGGCTCAATATAAGAACTTTCTCTGTGCCTTTGTACAAGCCTTCCTTCAGCCGCAGTGACTGATGGGCACTTTAAGAAATGGAAAAGACGACCACTTCAGGTGCAAATTTTCTAGCACTAGACATGATAACGTTAGCTCATTCTTCGTAAAATCAAGTTTTTAGATGGAAATGATAATGAAATAGTACAGAGGAATTACAGTTAGCTGAATTTTGGATTCAGGCGGGGAAAACACATTTTGGCTAACGCAAAGTTCTAGATGGGGATATCCTTAATTAGTAACAGATTTTCATTACTATCGGGATGAGGAACTTGGAAACCGTTGATTATAAGCCTCAGAGGAGGAAACGTACATCAGAACTATTCTGACTGTGAGGGTACACTGAACATAAGCACTCAAACTCACTCACTGCTAAGGGCGCATAGCTCCTCTCTCTCTTACCTGGTATAATCCAGAACAATAGCATTCAAGTTGCTGAAAGGGAAAGCTGCTCCAAGTCGCATCATGGACCACGAGTCTATTGGCACATGAGTTATTTCGAGAGTACAAAAGGGGTAGCTGGTGCATCCATTCTGCTCTAAAAGCATTGCCTAGAAATGCAAAATATGAATAGATGTCAGAGTTTATCAAACAGAAGCACACTCCTGATAGCAAAGGTGAGTTTGTGGCTTTTGGTTTGTTTTTTTACATTTAAAAAAAGACAAACCTAAATTTTCCTGTATATTTCTAGTACTTGTGGAACGTGTCAGATTGACAATCCTTGAGACAGATGTTTCCTGTTTATCTTCCATACAGAGACATTGCGGGCAGTAGCAGTGCCAACTTCTCCTACATGTCACAGTTGTTAATTTCTTGGGGGAAAGAGGATAGTTAATTCTCCATGCTTGTTCATCTGTTGGTGTCCCTGCTGAGACTGCTAACCTAGTGAACAGTTTGAGTTATTTTGGTGATCGTTTGTGTATTATGCCACCTATTCATTGAGAACCGGATCACAAAATAGCCAGTAATCTAATCACTTCAAGCATATTCATCCTAAGTATCTTCTGCTCTTCCAATATCAATACTACACATCTTTCTTATTTCCTTGCACTCCCGAGTCTGGTGGGGGGAATCATGTCTGTTCCTAACCCTGAGCTGCCCACTCCTCCCTTGCAGGGTTGCTAACTTTCTACTGGCACAAAACTGAACATCCTTTCCCCATCCCTTCCCTGATCCACCCCCTACGTGCTCCCTTCCTCCTCGGAAAGTGGCTCGCTCTCTATCACCCGCACTTTCACTGGCTGGGAGGGCAGGAGATTGTGGTGTGAGGGGGTTGAGAGCTCTTTGTGGGAGTTTGGGCTCAGAGGGTAAGACAGGGCTCTGGGTTAGGGCAGGCAGCTGGAGTGTAGGAGGCAGTGAGGGCTCCATCTGGAGGAGTGGTCTCTGGGGTGGGGGTGAGGTGTGAAGGAGGGGGCTTCAGGCTCAGGGTAGAGCCAAGAAATGCAAAAGGGGGCTGCAAGTTGAGGCAGAGAGTTGAGTGCAGGAGGGGGTGAGGGCTCTGGGATGGAGATGGGGGTTCAGTGTGTGGGAGGGGGCTCTGTGCTGGGGTTGAGGTACAGGGGGGGATGAAGGCTGAGCTGGGGTACAGGCTCAGAGATGGGCTCAGTGATGAGGGATGTGGGATGAATGAGCAGGCTCCAGGTTAGGGGAGCCACTGTGGGCTGGTATGCAGGAGGGGGCATAGGCTCTGGATGGGGGTGTGGGCTTTGGAGTGAGGCTGGAGATGAGAATTTTGGAGTGAAAGGGTGGGGGCTCTGTGTTTTGGGAGGCTAAGGAGAAAGGGAGGGGAGTTGGACCTTTCGCTTACCTCAGGCAGCTCCTGCTAAGCAGGCTGCCTGCCTGGCCTGGGGCACCCCACGGCGCCTGGGAAGCATTCAGCAGGTTCAACTCCTAGGTGGGGATGAGAAGTCTCACGATACACCATGCATGCGGCTCTTGCCTGCAAGCCCCACCCCACAGCTCTCATTGGCTGGTAGGGCACTGTGAGGACCTGTGGTCCCCCTGCCTAGAAGCTGGACTTGCTGGCTGGCTGCTCCCCAGGACAAGAAGGGAATAGCTGGCCTTTGCTCTGCAGCACGACAACTGGACTTTTAATGTCCCATCAGCAGTGCTGCCAGGAGCCGTCAAGATCCCCTTTTGACTGGGTGTCCCAGTCAAAAATCAGACACCAGGTCACCCTACTCTTTTGGCTTACCAGTACCTGCCTGCTTCCAGATACCTGGACCAGTCAAGGCCTCTGTAGGGCCCAAAAAAAGGATGGATGCTATTTTGAGCACAGCTGAGCTCCTCTACTGTACAGGAAATGAGAGATACATACAGAGAGGATCCATACAGAGAGTGTTCTCCTAGAATACTCAAGGAGCTGATAGGGAGGTATCTGAGCCTTTAGCTATCATCTTTGAAAAGTCATGGAAGTTGGGAGACATTCCTGAAGACTGGGAAAAAAAAATGCAAATATAGTGCCCATCAGTACAAAGGGAAAAAATAAGAACAACCAACAAAACTATAGACCAGTCAGTTTAACTTCTGTGCCAGAGAAGACAATGGAGTACATAATTAAGGAATTTGTCTGCAAATATCTGTAAGATAATAAAGTGATAGGTAAGCACTGAAATGGGTTACCTAGGGAAGTAGTGGAGTCTCCATCCCTAGAGGTGTTTAAGTCTCGGCTTGACAAAGCCCTGGCTGGGTTGATTTAGTTGGGATTGGTCCTGCCTAGAGGAGGGGGCTGGACTTGATGACCTTCTGAGGTCTCTTCCAGCTCTATGGTTCTATGATTCTATGATAAGAACCAGCATGGATTTGTAAAGAACAAATCATGTCAAACCAATTTGATAGCTTTCTTTGATAGCAGAATAAGTCTTGTGGGTAAGGGGGAAGTGGTAGATGTGGAATACCGAAGACTTCTGTGAAGCATTTGATATGGTCTGGAATCACCTTCTTATTAATAAACTAGCAAAATACAACCTAGATGAGGCTATTATAAAGTGGGTGCATAACTGGCTGGATAACTATTCTCAGAGAGTGGTTATTAATGGTTCAGAATCATGCTGGAAGGGCATAACAAGTGGGGTTCCACAGAGGTCAGTTTTGGGACCAGTTCTGTTTAGTATCTTCATCAATGATTTAGATGATGGAATAGAGAGTGCGCTTATTAAGTCTGAAGATGATACTAAGCTGTGAGGGGGTTGCAAATGCTTTGGAGGATAGGGATGAGCTTAAGGGGGTTGCAAATGCTTTGGAAGATAGGGATGAGCTAGATGGTGCTTGGTCCTGCCATGAGGACAGGGGACTGGATGACCTCTCGAGGTCCCTTCCAGTTCTAGTATTCTATGATTCCATATACCTATCTGGGGAGGATGAAACTCCCAAACATTTGCAACAAAAGCATTACAGTATTGTATTAATGCATGAGAATCTGAAAAGGGAACAGACTAGAAATTGATTGTAAACCAAAGTGAAACTGGCTAGTTTTCTTTCATTGTACATTCAGAGATATGCTATAAATAAATTACAGCATAAACAGGGCGAAGTTAGATTTTCAAAATTGAGTTTGTCCGTGCTGATACACACATCTCCCTGAGTCTGACAGGCATTATCAAGACCAGACAATAGAAAAGATATCTGACTGGGTTTGGGCAAATCTGAAGTTACACAGCTCTTTGGGCATGAAATCAGATTGCCCTCACAATCCAAATCTCTGTCTCTACGAATGTCTTGTTTGCTCATTGTCTCAGTGGCCTTTCAGGTCTGGATTAGTGGACGTATGTAAAATCCAGGGTAATTTTTTAAAAACTTGCTTTTTGTATGTGTGGTATAATTTGCATTGGCCATTTCTCTACATAATTCTCCATCATCTTCCTATACTTTTCTATTTACATGTACAACCATTCTAGCTATATATTGGTATTTCCAATTTACATATTACTGCATAAATGGCAAGAATAAAAAAACAAAAATCAAAACCCCTTTACTTTTGGTCAGCTTCTCTTTAAAATGTCTACTTTTTATGTTACATTGTGCATTTTATTTTACTTACAAGATTTGCAATATCTTGGTTATTTAGCTGAATTTCCCAGATACAAAGTGTCTTTCCCAACATATATGGTTCATCTCTAATTGTCCTTAACAGAGGTGTGAGGCAAACCAGCTGAGAATTCTGAGTTTGTGAGCACAAACTAAAAAAAACCCAAACAAACCCAACACTTAATTGTAATTTGGTATAATCAAAACATACAAATGAACATTATACTTTATGAACCCAAACATAAAATGTACCAATATCTCATGTACTATACATAAATGGTAATCTATCAATGTTAACACAAGTCCAAAGATGTTAACACAACTCTGCATATCAATATATAAAAACTGTGCAGAATTCCTTAAATAAGAGGGACATTCAGCATATTTTTTCTATATTGGTGCAGCTCCAGCCTTTGCATCTATAACGAATAGAATAACTATGCTCTAGGCATTTTTACCATTATGTCATCCAACCCTGTAGATCAGCCTGGCAGGCATTATTTTATATCCTAGATGTTTTTAACCAGGCATTTCTGGAGATAAAAGCATAAGAACAATGGGCTCTGTGCTCCTATTAACCTGGGTATCTAACCATGCAAGTGTATAATAGCTAATTATAGCACATTTGGAAGGCAGGGGATGCATCCTCACCCTAGGACTATCACATGCTGAAGCTGCAAAGAAACAGCACACACAGGGGTGTTGACAGCCTCCACAGACTCCTGGGCAAGGTGGGGAGGAAGATGACTCCAAGCCCTACAAGGGAGTGGGCAGCCAGTCATCAGTGCTGACCGGAGTGCAGTGCTCCCCCCCCCAAATGTTAGGGCCATGCAGAACACTGCTCCTGCAGTGATTTAAAGGGCTAGGGGCTCTGGCCACTGCTGCAGTGGCAGGGAGCAATGGGCCCCTTTAACTGCCTGCCTCCAGGGCAACTGTTCCCTTTACCCTCCCCTTGCTGGCAGGCATGAGCACAGCCTGCTGTCCCAGGCAGAACCAGCAAGAGAGCAGCTCAAGTTGAGGCTCAGAATCCTCCCAAAGAGGCAGGTGGAATAAAAGCTGTTAGAGAAGAAGAATCAAAATGCTGACATAGTGGATTACCTGGAGCCTTGGGGAAAGGGGATGTAATAAAAACAGAAGAATAAAAGTAGGGAACTGGCAAGTAAGAAAGAAGAGAGAAAGTAAATAGGAAAGAGTTCACTCACATCAGGAGAAGTAGGTAAAAAAAAACCAGACCTGGGTATATGAGCAGATACTATTAGAGAAGGAAAGTAATGACAAATAAAATCTACAGACTTACCAGAGAGTGCATTAAGGAACCTCCCCCCACCCTACAAAAGATATATAGTTGGTGAAAAAGGGAATTCATCAAAAAGCTGCATTAGATGAAAACAGATCTTGACCTCAGTAAATGAGAAGCCATCCACAAAGGATCTAAAGTGTATGAACAAAGAGAAGGGTTGTTTGAAAGTCTGAAGACCTGAAGGAATACAGGTTAAAGGCATGTAATAGACAAATGAAGAAATCCCATTTGTGGACCAACTTAGTGAAAAAAGGTATTGCTACAAGAGCACTTTAAGCAAAAGAAAAGCAAACAGGACAGCAAGAGTAGAGTCAGATTTACAGCAAGGAGAGGAAAAGCTGATTTTTTTACTCAAGTGACAGTATATTTTAATCTCATTTGTTCTTATTAATACAAAATACAGTATTAAGTGTGCAATGGGTACAAGCTTACAAAAGTTAATAAATGATAGGTTATCAACTCATTATTATAAACAGCATATCTTTGGTAAAGGTCTGTCTTTGTGCTGCTAGTACAAATTTTGGGGTTTTCCCCGTATAAAATTCTAAACATATAAAATTATTCCTTTTGTTTTCAGTTGCCTCTGCCTCTCCTCACAGTTAACGTAGTCCAGCCTGGATCATCACATAAGTCAATGGATATTTTGTTATTTATTTCACTCAAACTGCATTCCAAAGAATGCCCACCCAAGCTCCAAATACTCGACATAAAACTTTAAAAGCATAATAAAGTTACAGAATCAAAGTTCTTTTTCACCCCTCCAATGTCACCTTAAATCAATATGTAGAACATATTTACCTTTGTAAGGATGGCTTCATTTTCTATGCATTTTCTTATACTCAGTTTGATCATAACACTGACAAAGCTTTAGGAAGAGGCACAACGTCTTTCATAGGTTTTCAGAAACTTTTGAAGTATGGAAATGTCAAGAAGTGAATTGGCTTTTGTTTTCATTTTCTCTCTCTCCTTTCCGGGCATTTTTTTAAAATTTTGTTTTCTTGTCCTTTGTTTTTCAGGGTAAGCAAGCTAACAAAAACAAACACAAATCAAGTTTATTTTTATTAATAATAGAACTGTTATTGAAATGTTAGTTTGATGATAATCAAAGAACATTTATGTAAAGATATATATCTTGGCCGACTTATGCACATCCTGTGGAGTGCAATAGTACATTGGTGTATTAACTGAACAAACAAAATTGGAACATTTAAGCAGAGTGTAAATTAATCAAATCTGCCAAAGAAAGTAGTTCCAAAAATTCAAAGACAATCTATATAAAAATCCAGGGCAGTGTTTATCAGCACAACTCTGTCCCAGTGTTAAGAAGTGGGTAATCCACTAATCGTGTAGCCGATAACATTTTTATCGACTACATGATTAGTTGATAAGAGAAGGCTTCCTCAGTCCCGGTTCACATCGGGTCCACAAGCTACGCCTGCTGCGGCTCTGCAATTTAAATGCAATAAGAGCCGGTTCCCAGGACATTTGGGAACCTTATTTCTGCATTTTCTGTGGGGGAGAAAAAAAGTCTTGGCCCCGTTGTAAATTCTATGCTGCTCTTTCCCCACAGAGATAGGGGAGCTGAATGAAGAAACAAGCAATGTGCATTGCCCCTCAATCAGTAGACCAAAACAGAATAACTAACCCCCTTATTTTTAGTATAATACAAAGTACATGTTGGATTTGGAATAAATTAAGAGTCCAGAGGCAAATTAGAAAATTCACCTGCTTCTATCAGATATTTATTTTACCTATGGATAAATGGACATTACATACATTCCAATGCCAGAAATATGGGTGTTGCAATTAAAAGTAGGCAAGATCGCAGTTACTATGCAAAAGGGATTTCTTAAGGAATTTTCATCATGAAAGAGACATGTCTGTTGCATGACAGCGAGGTTGGCTGAGTAGAACTGCAGAAGAAAGGAGCTGATTTATTCTCATACTTACCCTCTCCCTTGTGAAGTGTGCTTATCTATAGATGAGAACTGCCTTATAAATGCCAGGTATAAGCAGTTCTGTAGGTGACGGCTGATTTTCACAAGCGTCAACAGACTCCACTTTGCTAAGTTTCTATTTAGGCTCCTTGTCAGCTTCACACAGAGTGTTCCTCCATCACTAAGCAACCATGTCACAAGACTCAGAAAGAAAATACCGAGAAGTGGTGTTTAAGAGAGCCAGAGCTACCACCTCTACTAGTCTGCAATTCAAATGGTAACTCCCCCAGACTCTAATCCCAATGCAGAGCCACTGCAATGACTAGGAGGACAAACACTGAGTCAGAGAAAAACCTGTCTTGATTTTGAACCTTCACTGACCTCTTGTCACTAGGGTTGTCAACATACAGTCGACTGTACAATTAATTGAAAAGCCTAGGTTTATTGGTTAATCTTGTTCAATACACACATTTCCCCCCTCTTGCTGCCTATGTATCAGAAGCAGTGGGGCAGGTGGCACCACAGAGCCAATGCCGGGGTAAGTCATCTTAGGCAGCAGCGGGGATGGAGGCAAAAGAAGGCTGCTTCCTGGCAGCAGCCCCTGTCCGTGGGGTGTCCAAGCGCCCAATTTCTGCTCCGCATCCCACAGATCAGCCTCTGTCCAGGGTGAACCTGGGCCTGCCACAAGCAAAGGCTGCTTTGTGGCAGCAGCCAACATCTGTGGGAAACTCTGACCTCATGGACTGGTGCTTCTGCCACCCCGCAGCATGGGGCAGCAAGCATCTGGACTGAGGGAGCTGCTCCTCTGGCCAACCAGCTGCCCTTGGCACCCTGCGCTGCTGAGTCAGAGACAGCAGCATGGGGTGACAGGCGGTTCCCTGGGAGCGGCCAGGAGTGCACTGGCTGTCACCCCTACCCCTGGGGACTATCGAATAGAGGCCAGGAGTGCACTGGTTGGCACCCCTACCCCTAGGGACCATCGAATAGTCATGTAACTGCTAAGATTTCAGGAGGTTACATGACTATTCAATTGCCCAATATCCAACATCGTTACTTGTCACTCCAATGCCAATTCAGGACACACTGTCCAGCAATAGGGTAGATTCATCCCAAACTGGTGGTTATTCTAGCATTAGGGTATACCAAACCAGTAACAAAAGAAAACTTCTGTATTACCACGCTGGCTAACAAGAAATCAAAGTCTCTATAGACACTCCAGCCCTGCTTTTAACCCCCCAGACATTGGACTATATGATTGGCTACTAAACCCCAAATTTAATCAATCATAGGGTCCTTTGAATATCAGAAGATCAGCTGCTTAGACAGGTTAATATATAACTCTGCTCAAACCCAGTATAACACTGATGCCAACTCTTTAGTAATTAAAAACTAAGGCTACATCTTCATTGGCATGATCTTGCGAAAATACTCTTTAACGCAAGAGTTCTTGCGTTAAAGTATTTGCACAAGACAGCGTCTACATTGGCGGGATGCTCTTGCACAAAAGCAGGAGCTCGGAACCATTCTGAAGGCGGCAAAAGGGCACCAGCCCTTTCCGGGGGTGGGGGCTGGAGCTCCTTTGAGACACGTGCTTAAAGGGATCTCCCTGGACAGCTGTTTCTCTCTTGCTGCGAGCTTTAGGACCTCTTGCAGGGACTGACAGCAATAGCAGTTCTACCTGTGGTTGCCCTCTGCCTTGTTGGACACCACAGCCTTGTGCCTTAGTGCCATTAGCTGATGTTTTGACCTCAGCTCTCTTTTTGTGCCATGGAGCCAGGGGTGCCTGCTTTGGCCCCTTCCGGTCATCTTGGAATGCCTGCAGCTTCTGCTCCAGCACTGCGAGGTGCAGGACGCTCTGGACTCCCTCACCAGGGAGGCCATGGCATCCCTGTGGCATCCCCACCCCACTGTGGAGAGGGCCACTGTGGAGAGGCCCTTGTGGAAACTGGACACCAGTACCGACTGGTCCTGGGGTAATGGGACGACCAGCAATAGCTCTGGAACTTTCCGATGCAAAAGCAGACATTCCTGGCTCACCCCTGCACTCCAGAAAAGCATCACTCGGCTGCAGGCACCCATCCCCGTGGACAAGAGGGTCGCCATCGCAGTCTGGAAGCTGGCCACCCCGGACAGCTACCGATCGCTGGCACACCAGTTCGGGGTGGGCAGATCCACTGTCAGTGTCATTGGGATGGACAGCTACCGATCGGTGGCATACCAGTTCGGGGTGGGCAGATTGACTGTCGGTGTAGTCGTGTTGGAGGTAAGTCCCAGGGGGAATGGTGTGGGGGGAGGGTGCTGCACTCCATGCCCAAGGGCAACCAAGACTCCAGGCTGGGTCACCCAGGGCTTTCGGCCATCCCTCCCTTGCACATGCCTGCTGGTGGGGGGGCGGGGCCCTGGTGTGTGCGTGAGCACAGAGGGTATCATGGGGGGGCGGCCCAAGGGAGCGCACACTCACCCTGTCTTATGTGAATGTGTTCCCCTGTGTTTCTCTGCACCCTTCTGCAGGTCGTCCATGCCATCAATGATGTCCTGCTCCCAAGAGTCATCTGCCTGCGCGACGTGGAGGCTACGGTGGCCGGCTTTGCTGCCCTTGGGTTCCCCAACTGCGGGGGAGCCCTGGATGCAACCCACATCCCCATCCATGCTCCGGAGCATCGAGCGGCCCATTTTATGAACAGAAAGGAGTACTTCTCTATTGTTCTCCAGGCCTTCATGGACCACCGTGGCCGCTTCCTAGACATTTATGCGGGCTGGTCCAGCAGGGCACACGACGCCCGCATTCTATGAAACTCCGGCCTGTTTGGCAGACTGGAAGCAGGCACTTTCTTCCCCCAACCGGAATTTACTGTCGGGGACGTGCCCAGGCCCACGTGTGTTGTGGGGTACAAAGCCTACCCCCTGCTGCCCTGGTTAATGCGGCCCTACACGGGGCAGACAGACCACAACCAGGCATGGTTCAACGACCGCCTGCAACCGGGCCCTCAACCAGGTGGAGTGCGCCTTTGGCTGCCTGAAAGCCCTGTTTTGCTGTTTGCTCACCCGTCTGGAGATGGGTGAGCGGAACGTCCCTGAGGTAGTAGCTGCGCGCTGTGCGCTCCACAACTTCATGGAGCGGAGGGGGAGGCCTTCCTCCTGGCATAGATGGCAGGTGAGGGCCAGGCCTTCGAACAGCCCCGCACAGCTGCCATCCGCCAAGCGCACCACGATGGGGTGCGCATCCGGGAGGCCATGATGGAGATGTTCTCCCAGGCCCCACAGTAGGGTCGCCTCTGTCTCCCTTGACATCTCCTTCCCATTCCCAACCCTTCCCTCTTCCCCTCCCCTTCCCTCCCAATAACCAACACAGGTTTTTTTGGGAAAACAAACAACATTTGGAACTTATTTACAATGGGGGGGACGTAGGGTGAGAGGAGGCTCTGAACTGGGAGGGGGCAGCTACTGCTGGAAGGGGTGGCCCTGCAACTGCTTCTGCGGGGGCAGACCAGGACATGGGAGTCAGGCTACACTGAGGCAGGCAGCACGGAGAGGTGGGCAGGATGGGGTGCATCACGCGGGGGCATTGCAGGAGCAGGAGGGGCAGCAGGAGGCGGCGGCACAGGCATTGGTATGGGAGGGATGACAGGTGCATGGGGCAATGCCATGCTGTAATGTACGGCATGTCTAATGTGTGTGGTGAGAGCAGTGATGGCATCTGCCATGCGGTCACACTGGGCCTGGAAATGGCCCCAGGCCTGTTGGCGCCACTCCAGGTCCACCTCCACCCGGCGTGATGGCTGCCTCCATGCAATTGACGGCCTGGACGTGCCGTCAAAGAAGTTGGTCCCGCTGCCAGACCCGCCAGCTTGGTGCTTGGGCGGTTGGGGGTGCTGCACTGCCACAGGGCTGGAGGGTCCCCCTCTGCTGCTTGGTCCCGCTGCAGGGAACAGAGAAAAGGATGGGTCACTCTGGCAGCTCGGCCACCATCCTCACACCCCATGCCCTCCACCCATGAGCCCAGGTGACACCACAGTACTGTGGCTTGGGCCCACTCATTCCTCCCCACCCCCCGCCATGTTGTATGTTTACAAACAGGACCACTCCCATGTATTGGGGGGTGCTCCTCCATGTATTGTAACCACCAGTCTGTGTCCTGGCCTCTTGGGGAGGGGGTGTGTGGTGGTGGTGGTGGCGGCAGCAGCAGCAGCAGCAGCAGCACATGTGTTAACCTGTGGAACTCCCTGCCAGGGAGGCTGTGAGGCTTTGGGCTAATCAATGGTGCTTGACAGGGAACAAGATGAATCCCCAGACAGTGCCTGGGAGCATATACGGCAGACGTGGTCTGGGCTCTCCGATCCCCTTCACGTGGATGTATCCTGGACGGAACCAGGGGTGACTGGGGAGTGTCCCATTCTTGCAGCGAAACTCAGGTGGCCCTAGGGCTGGCCCAAGCGCTTCCCCCCTTCCCCTCCTGCTAGCCCTCACACACGTAGCCCAGGGACATGTGTGGCCACAATGGGGACTTCCCTCGGGGAGCCAGCCAAGGCACCAGGAGCAGGCGAGCGACTCAGTGGGGGCCACGCTCACAGGGCTGTGACACTGCGGTTTTCCCAGGAGCAGCTGGCTGTGCCTCACAGCCAGGCATGGGACAGTGTGCCGTTCTGCGTGCTGCACTTGCCCTGAGTCCCTGGGGCCATGGCTGGTTTCAGCCGGCATCCACCCTTTCCCCTGGTCCCGCCAGATGTGTGTGAGCAGCACGGTCCCAGGCGTGCCCTGGCGCTGCCTGCCGCGGCCACATGCCGCTCGGTCACCAGGCTGCATGTGGTTGCACGTGCTGCTTACTGCCTAATGCTACACAGTGTGCAGCTCATGTGGCCTGAGTGACATGCTCTCCCCCTCCCCTCCGGGCGCCTGGCTCCCCCGCCCCGCCCCTTCCCCCCTGGTCCGGATGTGTGTGAGCAGCAGAGTCCCAGGCGTGCTCTGGAGCTGCCTGCCGTGGCCACGTGCTGCTCGGTCACCAGGCTGCACGTGGTTGCACATGCTGCATACTGGTAATGCTACACAGCGTGCGGCTCACGCTGCCCGAGTGACGCTCCCTCCCCCTCCCCTTTGGGCACCTGGCTCCCCCCCGCCCTTGAGAGTCCAAAGTGCAACACTCACCAGTGGATCCTTCCCCGGCCTCCAATGACGCACAGGAGATGTCCAGGCTGCCGGAGATGACCTCAAGCTGCAGGGTCACAGTGCTGCCCTGGACGTTGTCCTCCTCTGACCCACTGGGTAGCTCTGGGTCATCTCCCGCCTTGCTTAGCCTGGTGACAAGGGGGCACCTGCTGGTGTCAACTGGCACTGATGGTCCCTGGGGTGCTGCCTCTCCTAGGATAGCGTGGAGCCACTGGTAATGGGGGCAGCTGTTGGCTCCTGCCTCCTGGCCTGGACATAGCCCAAGGGTAGCTCCTTGGCCTTAGCCCGGACCTGTTCGAGGGTCCGGGCTGGATGACCCTGGTTGGAGAGCGCCTGGGCCATGCGGCGCTGACGTTGTGGAGGGCCTCTTCATCAGCCCAGAGGTCCAGGAGGGCCTCAATCTCCCCTGGGGACCAGGAAGGGGCCCGCCGCTTTTTGCCCCTTTGGGGTCTCCTGTGCTGGGGATGCGGATTGCTCCCCCTCCCAGAGCGGCAATCCTGGGTGGTCTGGTGCATGTTGGAGGGGGCAGAGCTGGGTGGCACAGGTGCTTCTTCCTCGTGGCCTCTGCAGGCTGCGTGTGCCTTTAAGGGGGCTCAGGTTACCAGGAAGTCTGGAGCTGCCTGCGCGTACGGAGCGTCCAAGCGGCCACTAGGGCTTTTTTCTGTTTGGACGGCTCTTGTGCAAAATCTCTTGGCTGCCTGTCTACACCGGCATCTTGCGCAAGAACAGTTACGCAAGGGGGCTTCTTCCTGAGCAGGAGTGTCAGAGTTCTTGCGCAAGAAGCCCTGATTTCATGCATTAGAACATCAGTGTTCTTGCACAAGAACTCGCAGCCAGTGTAGACAGGCAGCAAGTTTTGGTGCAAAAGCGGCTGCTTTTGAGCAAGATCGCGCCAATGTAGATGTAGCCTAAAAGTTTAATTAAGAAAAGAAGAGTTATGAATGGATTGTATATATACACAAGAGGTTTTTCAATTAAAAATATGTACCTTATCTTGGAGGAAGAACAAGAGGACACACAAGGAAAAACAAGATAATGTAAAAGTTAAGTGAAGTGTGAGAGAAAGGAGGTTTGTTTATAAGTAATGTTACTCAAATAGGTTTTATAAAACAGAAGATACTGGTGCTTTAATCAGCACTCATCTTTAGGGCAGGAAGTGACAGACAAGTCAAAAGTTAAAATGCCAGCCAAAATGCCCATGTTATACAGCAGTGGTCTCCAACCTTTTTAAATTCAAAAAGTGATCTTGTGCTTAAGTGCAATCCAAGATCTACCTCAAACCCAAATACTCTTGCCCCAGCTCCTTCGTGCCCCATCCCTGCTCACTCCGTCCTCCCTCCCCCGTCTTCCCTCACTTTCACCAGGCTGGGACAGAGGGTTGGGGTGCAGACTCTGATCTTGGCCTAAGGGATTTGGAGTGTGAGAGGGGCTGTGAGCTGAGCCTGGGGCAGGGAGTTGGGGTGCAGGAAGGGGTTCAGGGTATAGGCTCTGTAAGGGAGTTTTGGTCCAGAGGGCTCAGGGGTTTGGGGTACGGGACAGGGTTCATGACTGTGGCAGGGGTTCAGAACTGGCTCCAGCTGGACACTGATTACCTCAGGTGGCTGCTGAGTGGTGGTGCAGTGGGGCTCCACCCTGCCCTGGCCCTGCACCACTCCCAAAAGCAGCCAAGAAACTCCTTCCATCCCAAGACCTGTTGTGTGTCCACCACCCCCACTCCTGTGGAGATCAAATACAGGGTGGGAGAGGGAGCACCCTGACATCTGTGCCCCCTTCTCTTCCTTCCCTGCTCTGTACTGCAAGCAGGAGGCTCCCAGGGAGGGACAGTTCCAAGGCAAAGGGCAGGAAGCATGCAGCAGTGCAGGGAGGGACAGCTGAAGTGCTGGCACTTGAGAGCCTCTTGGCCAAACCAGTCAGGATCACCTGTCAGAGGCTCCAAGATCTACCAGGAGATCCCAATCTACTGGTTGCTGACGACTGTTATACAGTGACAACGAGAACAAAATAGCTTCAAATGCATCAAGCCACCAATTTAATAGGGTACTATTTTCAAGACTGACCCGATTGCTAACTTTCTGTGCAAACTAATTTTCTACTAATAGTGCTTTTGTCTCTATCTAGCAGTCTTATATCAGAAATTAACTGACTCTATGACAATACAATATTATTGAATTTCACTTACTGTTTCTGTAAGATGGAAGAATACCATTTACTGTCATCTACTTCACTACACAATTAGTCCACTAACAATTGTTAAGACCAGGACTCTCAGAAAATACATAGTCTGAATTTATTTGTGAGTTGTTCTGAAGCAACGTTACAAAAGTTTTTAATATTTTATAAGAAAATAAATTTAAATAAAAATACATTTTCAACAATACACCATACTTACACAAATTAAAACTACATTAAACAAGAATTTACAGACCAAATAAAACTAATAACTGAGCAATGTTTTCCATGTCTAGGCAAATCAAAGTGAAAGCAACTTTAATATTAATAATCTTAATTGTACCTAATTTAATTCTAGAGTACCTACTGCATTTTTAAACAAATAAAATGACAAAATACATGTCAAAGGCCTCAGATCTTAAAGGCCTATCTGTCCTTTTCTATATAGTCTAGGACCAAAGCAAATGAAAAGTGCATTTTCAAAAGTTTTCTCTTTACAATAATATAAGATTTAAAATTGTTATACATTTAACTTTGCTGTTAATTGACAGACAGGCTTCAAGAAACCAACACAAGCACATTTTGTAATTAAGATTGATCATAATAATTAGTAAAATTTAATTGACACGTATTAGTGCTATTGAAATCTAGCAAAATTTGTTTCTTTGGCAAATAAAGTAGATCAATTTGACCTTGACAAAATACATTTCTGGGTGTCAATAATGAATTCATTTTTTTCTAACAAATTGAGGGCAAGTAACATTCCTCTAAGAATCCCTTCAACAGTAAAGTAATGCAAAAGCAGGACTATGCTTGTAGGTAACATGGCCAGTAGCAGAACATGACTGTGATGCTCAAAATATTGGTGTCGCTTCCCAAGTGATTTCCTATCAGTTTTTTTAATATTAAAAAATGATTGTTCTAATAGAAAAGTTTCATTAGTTTCAACAGTGATTTCAATCCTGTGGTACCAACTGGTCTGAATTTTAGTAGCAGAAGGCACCCTACAATAGTATTTTCAACAGCTTATGGTTTTGTAAACACTGTGAATCTACGTTTGTATTGATGAAGTTACATTCTCAGCTCTGCCTAGGGCAAATGATAGAAAAAACAGCAAATGCTCCAAAAATGAAGTACTACCTGTACACAGTGTATTTTATTTTACTTTACCAAGTATACCATAATATTTAATACTGGTGAAGAAAGTTCAGCCGTCTCTTCTCCAAAGTGTTACCTTTCTTCTACTGATTATGTACAGATATCATTTTCAACATAAATTTAAATTCTCAGATGGAGAACAAGAATCAAACTTTCTGAAGTCATGATGCCAGTTCACATTTGTTTGATCTGACAAATAAAAACCCCCATATAACTAGAAATTAAAAAATGGCCAAAAAGCATTGTTTTAACATACAACAGCACTGATCATTCAACTGATCATAAAGATTAGATACTACAAAGTATCTAAAAATATAATCTGGGGCAGTCCAGATATCTAAAGTGCTTGGAGTGATTATTCTGGAGAAGTTATTTAATATAGCTGTAATGAGAGGTGAGCTGGGCCTAAATGTGCCAAATTTTTGTTAACAAAAAAATCCTAGATGGGAAGATGTAAAGTGAACACTACTCAACCACAGTGTTGCCACATCTGCATTCTTCTCACTTGTAGGAAAACTAGCTTCCAAAAAGTGTTGCTAATTTGCATTTTTTAATCAAGAAAAATTAGTACTTGATTTTTTACAAAAGAAAAGACACTGTGGTCTCATGTCACTCCATCCGTTGCTCACCCCAAATGTAAACAAGAGGTACAATCTAACAACAAGTTTCCCTGATTTCTCCTTCTTAGGTATTTTTTAAAATAAAAAAGTAACGAACATTGGTGTCTCTAAGTCCGCACAATACACTGCAGGATTTTACAAGACTTCAGTTGTAGTTACCTCGGAGTCCTGACAAAAATAATAGTTTGACAAAGAAAAAGAAAGAAGTTATACACTGAAAGTGAAAGTTCAGATCCTTTTGAGTCACCACATGTTGGGATTTCCGCTGCAAGACCTTTGGCACAGCAGGCACTAATGGTGGATTAAATGTGAGTCCAGTATATTGAGAGATGTAATCCAAATCAACAATTGGTGCTGATTTTCCTCTTTTAGAAAGCTTATTCCTTTAGGAAGTGCCATGAGGGAAAAAAAGGCGATGTAGAAATATTTAGATTTACTCACATCTGATATTTCGAGACATGGAGCTTCAAGTTCTTTGTCAAAATTGGAATAAACCTCACAATCAGTTTTCCAAACAGATACTTTTCTCTATTAAATATTAAATAGATTGTGAAAACAGGTAGCATTTCCGTTCATTCTTAAATACTTTAGACAAGTGTACACAAAGTAAAAAAAATGCCAACAAAAAACCCCACACACTTCCAGTTTCTTCTGACTCCACATTAGTTTCTTCTGACTCCACATAAGCAATAGTTTATTTTCATTAGGAAACTTTTCCAACAATTGGATTCTCTCTGGAAAATAAAACCTCATGTAAGTATTTTTGATGGAAAATATAGTTATTATCTAGTAATCATGAAATTGAACTTCGTTTTAAAATATAAAGCTATATTTTCTGCATAATTTCTAGATCTTGTTGAGTAGTCCCATTGTTTGCTGAAATCCTGATGTGTTATTTATCACATGAAAGCAACAATGACCCAGGACCAGACCTCTTCAAAATCACTGGGTAAACAGGAAACTAATGTTAAGAGGTCACCTTCTCTTACAATTTAGTTTTCCTTATAAAAGGAAAAAAATCAACCCATGACCACAAAGTATGAGTATTCATTGCAGACAGTTAAGTCTGAAGTTCTAGTCAAGCCTGACTGCTGATGTAACCTACCTTTTACCACAGCCAACGGTATGTCAAACTGATAGGCGTTGACACCAGTCACCACTGCAGTAAAATAGTAGGGTCAGTGTTGGCTGACTTGGTTCCCTGGGAATCCTCTTTCAGTAGCAGTGCTTCTGGAGAATGGTTTTATGCCCCATCAAGTGCCATGTAATTTGAGGTGAATCAGCTTGTCTAAATACCTGATTTATGTATTAATAGCCATAAAATAATCCCCAAATGTCCAATTGGGATTGAGGCCTCCATTGTGTTGCACACTGTACAACCACTGAAGAAAAGAATCCATGCACTGATGGGTTTAAATTTAAGTCATCATCAGAAGGTGTTCAAACACTCCTTCCCCATAAAAATCCCTGTACCCCATACAAGGCAGCTGGAATTACAGAGGATACTTACTCACTGCCGTATTTAGCACTTAATGATCTTTTCTTCCGATATTTTTCATGAGGCTCATTCAGCTTTTCTACTATGGATATTACTTGTTTAAGAGTGTGGAAAGTTGCTACGGAGTCCTCAATTGTGAAATTAGAATAGTCATCTGGTTCTTTCAGTGGACCTTGATAGACTGCGATACTTCCACATGCCTCTGCAAATATCACCACACATAAAAAAATATATTGTTTTCAGTAAACAGAGCGAACTTCTCTCTTTTACCAAACAGGGAGCCCAAACTTTTCATATATGGAGTTACCATTTTTCTCCTTTGCTTAGTCCATTTTGTATTGAAGTTAAAAGTATCAACTGGATATGGTAAGCAATTTAGTTAGGTTTTGTAATTTCATCATCAATGGGTCTAACATTTATTGTACATATTGGGCTACCAGTAATGCTGCCATAAAACTGATGCTTCTCTAGTCATGCCACCAAGAATTATTTTTCTCAGCACTAATAAAGAGCAGTAGTACAAGACCAAGTAGTTATAGGAGTAAGGGAGTGTGAGTTATACTCCCTTTGCTCGCTGCATGGAAATTATTGTACGTAGTAGTCTCTTGTTAATTTTTATGCAAATCCGCTTAGCACATTACTGGGAGTTATATGGGCATGTTAAGAAGAGATTAACTGCTGAATGAGAATGATCTTATCATACAGCAATATTAGAAATTCGTAGTAGAAAGTATGTACAATTTGGTATGCAATTAAAAGGAAAATACAAGACATTAAACATGATACTATCAGTCATTCTCCACGCCTTTACAATTATTTTATGTTAGTTTAACTCCGCTTATTTATTATTCAGATACCTTCCATCTTTTGCAGTCTAGGCATGTTGATAGCAAAAAGTGAGTAAATTCTTTCCGTTTCTCGATCCCCATCAATCTCAATTTGAATATCCGCAGGTACACCTCTACAACCAAAATTTTAAAAAGTTAGATTAAGATATAGATTGTAAATACTGCAAGCCATTCTCCTAGACAGGTTGAATGCAAATAAGAGTGGAATTAATTTCAATATATTTATCCATTTTTAAATGGATATATAACTTCACATGTTCAAACTAACATTAAATCTTGAATAAGTTAATAAATCTTATATGGATGCAGAAACAGGAGTTTACACAAATTAAAACAGAAGACAATATACTGTTACTAAAAATGGACCTTTACAGCAGAATTTGCTACACAGTACTTCAAGGTGAAAATAACTGAAGCGCCACAATAAGTTTAGTTACAATGGCAAATAAATATCCAGTTTTAATAGCCCCTACTATATCTGAAAGGTACAGATGCTATGAAGGTGATACATTAAAGTAGTATAATGGAGTATTTTTAGAAATAAAGAGATTAAAGTGAACATTTTTTAAAAAGTGATGTTCATTTGAACATGTGGAAGTCCTACTGTGTGAATCAACTGTGATTAACAGAAACAAATATTTTAAAACATGCTATAGGGGATTAATTTCCATGGGTCTCAGGGACTAGATTAGATTATTTAACAGACTTGATTGGATTAGACACTGAGGGTGGCATACAATCCAGTAAATTACTCAAGATAAATCTCCCTTAAAAAGCAAATCATACTTTTTAAAAAAAAAATCAGCAACTCAACAAAATTAAATAGCAAACGAATATTCTGTCAAATTGCAGACACAAATGGCAAGGTAGAATACTGGGTAAAAAGGGAAAGTACAGTATTTGAATAGCAAAGTGACAAACTTGGGGTTGATTCAGAAGTCAGTGAATAATTATCTGAACTCTCTGCTATCCTTGTGTATCCTAAGCAGGATCCTGAATTTGATCCAACTGTAGTAGGTGGAGAACTGCTCCAATTATCAACAGCTTCTAACAACCCAAAAAGAGCAATTGCATCACTCCGGGTTAGTTAGAGCTAAGCAACACTGGTTATACCTCTTCCTCAACAAGCCTTCCATGCATTCTGTACAATAGAGCCAAAAGGGTGGACAGGTAAATCTCTGTATAGCTGGCTGAGCCAACTTCAAGGCTTCTTTGTCCTGCTAGAGATGCACAAAGCAGATTCATCAGATGAAAGGATCTTGCTGAAGTCTTTCAATTACTGAACGGCAGTTGACAGTGGGGAGGGAAGAGACAGCTGCCATCAAAAACCCAAAGGGTCTGTGGTTTAAATGATCCCACAGCCATTGAGAGAAGCTGTTGCCTCTAGCAGCAGTGGGAGAGAAACTGAAATGCATTCTCATATTTACAGCATACGTAAAGAAGTCATTTGGTTCTAAAAACTACTGCTTCTGGAATACTGGTATGCAAGGTAATCCAATCAGTGCCCTGACTAGAGGAACATTTGCTATAATGTATATAATTCTGTACAGCAGTATCAATCATGTTATTTCCAATTTACATGCTAAGCTGCTTTTTTGTGTTCTGGAATGGTATTAGAGGAAATTATATGCCTATCAAAATAAAATATTTTATACTAAAGGTGGGGGACCTTTTTTGGTCAGGTACCACATACAAGGGAGAAGCAAAAATAAACAACTCCACTAAAAAACAAAAACAAAAAAACCCCTCCCAAATCTCACTGTCCTGGCTCTCAACATGCAAAAATACCACCCCGCAGTGAAAAATCTGGGCTTTCCCTGGCAGTGGGGCACTTGCCTCCTTCCCACCACAGGGCTAAAGCTCAAGGCTTGGAAGCCTGTCGTGGGGCTGGAGTGCACTCTGCTGCGGGGGAAGACCCGAGCGTCACTACAGGTCAGATCCAAGTAAGCTAGAGGCTGGATTCAGCCTATGAGCTGCAGGTTCCCCACCTATGTTTTACAGTCTTATCAATATAGCAATCATGCTTTATTAACTTGAAAAGAAGCATACAGCTAACTTATGAAAGAAAACATTAAACTAATGCTTAAACTGTCTAGAGGTTGCAAAAGGAATCAAAGACTCATTTTGCTGTAGAATGCTTTTTAATTCACAAACAACTTACGCAGTGCATGGAGTGCAGCCCTTTGCGTTCTCAGTCGTGGCCTTGCAGCAAATCCAGTTCCCGTTCAGAAAAGCAGAGGGATGATAAACACTCAGTCTCTTCTGGTTACACCTGCTTACCCTGCAGAGAGCTTCTATCCACTCACTAGCTTCCACACAGTTATTTGCCTGGATATAGAGTGGCTTCTCTCCATAAATCACTTGAAACATCTGTGGATGAAAGTATTTTATTCAGCAAAAATTATTAAATTAACAAAGATGACATACTGAGCATACAGATTTATCAACTGAAAAGAGGTCACTTAAAAAAAAAAAATCAGCAAAACCCAATAGCCACAAGGAACCACAGGGAGTGAATTAAATGCAGGGAAGGAGAGATCTTTCCTTCTCCTCTTTCTATTGCTGCTGCTGTTTCATTTCTAATCTGACCAAGGACCCCAGGATACTGCTTCTCGCTAATCTTCTCTGCTCTTTGGCTACACCACTTATTAATACCAAGAAGCACTGCTAAATAAGTCAAGAACCAGCTGCCTTGACCCTGTGGCTCCTGGTGCTAAGACAACTGCCCCCCTTCTTTGAGAAGCATTTCTTTGGAGCAGAGCAACATATGGAAGGAAGAGAAGATATAAATCCCCCTATTTCCTTCAGCATCACCTCTTAGCCAATAGCCTTATCAAACTAAAGACAGCAGAACCCTCTAGGGCCCCCTTTTCCATCACCCCTCCCAAAGAATAGCTATGATTTCATGACCCGAAAGGGCTGTGGGATTGAAGTAATGACAAAAAAATATAGATTCTGAGGGCCAGAGCAGAAACAAAATTGAGAATTCAATTCTTAAGGACAAGGGATTATAACATTATCACCACTAGTCATAAGGTTTGACAGTATCATCTTTTAACAAAGTTAAAACATCTAGTATAATTAAGGTTTATAATATTCTAGCTTAAGAGTACTATGTAAGTGCAAAGATGAGCAAACATCTCCATTTTACAAGTAAGGGAACCGAGGCACAACAGATTAAATAGCTTTCCTCAAGTCGCAGAGAAAGTTTCAGTGTCACGTGCTTAACCACTAGCCCATGCTACCAATGTGATAGTATAAACTGAACTTTCCAACCAGTAAATCTCAGTTTCTTTAAGAACTCATCAAGAATTATGAATGTAATATCTCAAAAGCTACATCTGACTCACATTTTTCTTATTGAAGGCGCTTTCCTCAAGCTTCTCCACAGTGAGGATGTTTTTGATTGGAATGGTGTATATTGGTTCTTTGTCTGCATAAATTTGTGAATAGATAACAGCAAAAAACAAACAAAAAAACCAGCAGACCATCAATCATTTTCTTAGATTAGAACACTGATACTAGAAGTTGAGATTTCAGAGATATGTACCCCCATTTTTGACAGAGCACAAACTAATAAAAATTAATGCTAGTGATCGGAGAATAAAGGGCTCATATGAAGCACAAAAACCAGACATTATGGACAGGTGAAAGACATCTGTTTGTCATTTCTTCCTAGTGTTGCGTAAATCAATAACATACAAGAATTGGTTGAAGGAGTAGGTTCACTGCTCTTTTGTTGAAGTGAGAAGTTGAATTGTTGATCAGAAACCAAATCTCACCAGAAGACCAAAGAGAAAGCCTTCCTCTGTAGGAAATCAAGACCTTGCTATATCAGACCCTTTTAATATGTCAAAATGTAATAAGCATTGCCTACACATACCAGGTGAAGACTGAGTGAAGGAAGATTCAGGATGAGCAAGCTAGATGCTCTCTAAGAGGAGTAACTGCTTTCCTAGTCTCCTAATTGGCCAAGTATCAATCAGGAAAGTACTGATGATATCCTTATGCTTGTGTTTTGTGAATGAGTAGGACAGGGAGGCCCATAGAATTGCTGGTCCTGTGGGCAAGGTGGGAGGAGCCAGCTCCATGCTCCCAGTTATGGCGGAGCTTGGGCAGAAGGGGTGGAGCTGGGGCTGGCCAGTGCTTAGCATCACCTGGACCATGCTGTGTCTCCTCCCTGCACTCAGCCAATTCTTACTGCTGCCTGGTGCTCCAGGAGCGAATTAAAGGGCTCAGGCTGCCACTAATGCCACAGTAGCAGTAGTGGGAGCTCCGAGCCCTTTTGAATCACTGGGCTCCAGGGCAGTTGCCACCTCCATCAGCGGGCCTGGAGTAGCATGTAACATAGAAAGAGACAAAAGCATGGAACATAGTTTTTATGTTCTGAATTGGTGACTGTACCCATTACATCCATTTAGTAGTGCTTCACTAAAGCTATAAGCAACATGAATTAGGAGTTCATACATAGTAACATAGGTAAAAGCTCTCTTATAACTAACCATCATAATCACGTCTGTCAGCGTGTCTCTAAGGATACATCTAGACTACAAGTCTCTTTTGAAAGAGGCTTTTTCAAAAAAGAGCATCTAGACTATAAGCAGATTTTTCGAAAAAGCGAGCTGCTTTTTCAAAAGTTTAGACGCTCTCTTTTGAAAAAGCACAGTTTGCATTCAATAGTGCCTTTTTTTGAAAGAGTACTTTTGAAAAAAGACTTTATTCCTCATAAAAGGAGGTTTACCGAGATGGAAAAAACTGCCACGTTCTTTCGATTTACTTCCGAAAGAACGTGGCTGCAGTCTAGACGCAGGCGAAGTTTTTCGAAAAAAGGGTACTTTTTTTAAAAAAAAAAAACCCCTATAGTTTAGACATACCATAAGTGCCCCAGCAAAACGTGTATAGGTCACAGTTCTGTCACCTACAGACCATTTTCCTTCACAGTATCACACAGGTAACAGAATTCTCTTTAATAGATACGCAGATAGCAGAATGTCAGAAATCAAGATTTTGCAGTTAACAAAAAGAAGCAATTTTGATTCCTGAATCAAAATTTGGCTCTGCAGTTCATGAACTAAAGATTCTTCAGTTTTGGACTTCTGCTGAGCAGGTACCTTCATTAAATAGTGAAAACTCTAAAGGGCGGTCCTATGAGATAAAGAAATTGATTGCTCTGTAGACCTTCTTCTACATGAGAGTCTAAACACAAACAGTCTATACAGTAGCCTAAAAGCTAAATTTGTGATCAACATAGTATTTATTTCCAGGAAACGTTTAATCACAAGCACACATTTTACTCTACCTAAAAATGCTTTTAAAACTGCAAAAAACACCCCAGTATTTCCTTATAATTTGGCTGGTTATAGGGAATCCAACAGGGTGGAATTTTTGTAGAATCAGTGTAACCCTTGCAGCAGGATTGCTAGGAACTAGATCTCTGAAGCTCAAATGGGAAGTGTTTGGAGTGCAGGATAGAAGAACACTATATACACAACATGCGCCTCTGGGGGGAAAAAAGCAAAACGGATTTGTGGATAAACAAAAAACAGGATTCAAAATTGAATGCAACTGAGACACATTTCTGAGCATCTCTTCAGAAAAGGAAATGACCAGAAATTGACTATTGTTAGTGTTTTGTTATCATTACAGTAAATAAGAACATGATCATGATGCTTAAAGTCACATAATGAATTTGATACACATTTTAACCAATTCTTAGCATAGTTAATCAGTGTTCAATAAAAATCTAATAACCGAAAAATAGTTTAAGATTTACCTTGTTGCTTGTGATAAGTAAGTTCTCTACTTGTTAGGCAGAACCATCGTTTCTTGAAATTCTTTTTTCCAATCCGAGTTCTTCCCTGAGCTCTTTTATACATTTCACTGTAAAGAGAAATTACATTATAAATCTACAAATGCTCACCCACTATAGAACTTTTCTTTAAAAACTTTGCATTAAACTCAATGAAGAGAACGAGCAATGATGAAAACATTAAAAATATTGGTTTAAAGAAGCCTTTGGTTCACAAAAGAGATCTTGAGTTCCCCTTTATTATAAGTGACTTAGTGAAGAGGTTCTTTAGCTGGTAAGAACTTTGACCGCTAGACCAGTGTTTCCCAATTTTATTTGGTCACGGAACCCTTTTAAACTTGAAAGAATTTTGCAGAACCCCTAATAACAGTCTAATATATGGAGCTGAAAAAGTAGACCAGAAATAAGGATAATAATAAACAAATGCTAAACAAGGTCATGAGATCAACATTTAGTTTAATTGCACATATTTGAAAATAAACAACAACAACAAAAATCACAATTTTTTTTTTAAAATCATAAAATGTTATTGTAATGGAATTCTCTCACTGAACCATTATTTTCACTTCATGGAACCCTGGGGGTTCCACGGAACACCATTTGGGAAACACTGCGCTAGACAATCAAAATCCAACCCAGGACTGTGGCCTCTTGCTTACGTTGGAAACCTGCATTTTACCAAAATAGTGATGTGCATCCAGTTATGAGATGCTCTCTCCTTTCCCTTTTTCTTATCAGACTATACAGCTTAGTCTAGCTTATGAGACATGTGCAGCTGAAATGAAATTCATCAGGAGAACAAACTGTATTCAACACTCCTTAAGTTGCACATATTTTCAGTAATGGGTCAATTCCCTAGCATCGAGAAGGCTTTTTAATCAAAAGGTTTGGTGACTTTTCTATTGCATCCATATTCTCTTTCATTTCTATTAAGCATGTTTTGGGAACAAGCATTGTGGGTAAAAGGAACACGATTTGCCACATTAAATGAGTTTGGCAATTTCTCTCTCAGACTTGGAAAAAAAGCATGTGCCAGAAGTTATTGTTCTGTAGAGAAGGATTTCATTGCTAAAAATCTGCTTCCCAGATATAAATGGAATCTATTTTACCCAGGAATAGCTTGGAAATAGAAAAATTCAAAGGAGTTTATGGGTAAAGTAAAAATATTCTTTTCCTTTGCCATTAGCTTCCTCTTTTCCTTTGCCATTAGCTTCCTCTACCACATACATTTTTCAAATATTCCATGATTCATGAAACTTTCATATGCTGTCTAATTATAGAAAGGAATTTTCTGCTTGGGTGTATTTCATCTGTCAGAGCTCAGAGAGAGTATACGAAGTCATTCTAACAGAAGGTTATTGGACTCTGAAATACATTTTAACATTTATTAAAACTGCCATGGAGAGGGCAAGGATTACACTCCATATGAGTGAGTGAGTGAGAGACTTTGAAAATATTACATACAAAGCTTCCTAAAACATGTAAGATGAGTTATAAAAAAAAATCCCATGAGAGTTGTTAATTCTACAAACCACATCAGCAGTGGACATCTATTGAAATATTTTTACACATTTCATAAATAGTATAATTAACACAACATGTCAACATATGTTTTTCAATTATTATTCATTTTATAAAGTAATCTGCTGTAATTAAATACATTATACTTCAATTACCCTTCTTTTAGATGTACTGGTTCACTCATGCCACTGGGCTCTTTACTTTCAGTAGATGACACTTCATCTAAAAACTAAAAGGAACAAGGAGAAGGATTATGTTTGGAAAGAATAAAAGTTGCCTAAATCCACAGCGTTTTTCAAACATTTTTTACAGTACACGAATATTTTGGTAAATGGAGTATAATCAGGGATTAACTGCATAGAATTCAGATTTAATGAGACAATAACATGAAAACAATTTTATGAAGAGTACATTAGAAGTTTCTAAACTCCACTCAAGATTTCCAATAGCCTGTAGGAGCTGCTGGCTGCTCCGTACTTTTTAAAGTTGCCACATTTATTAGGCTGGTGCTGATTTTTAACATCGTGGGCTATGTGAAAAATATGTAAAAGTTAAATGGCAAAAACACATTGCTAACTCATGCCTTTCTAGAATATTAAGCTCAGCAAAACTCAAGGTTCTAAAAAGCAGCAAACACAGAGGTAAATGCCCATGCAAGCTTCACTCTGACCCTGGAGCGGACAATAGCCTCTGGGAAGTATCTGCATGTACACCAATGCCATTCAGTGTTTTAGGTGCAGCTGTACTGACTGATAAAGGAATAATTAGAAAGCTTGGAAGAACTGAAATTCTGACATGAGGAAACCTTGGGTCCAAATCTCCCCCAAGTATGCTATTAAAGGAAACCTGTGAATGCTTGTAACTGAAGTTCTTCAAGATGTGTGGTCCCAATCTGTATTCCATTGTGAGTATGCATATACTATGTGCTCCTGAGGCAAAAGAATTCTAGAAAGTACTGGCCACAGCTCAATTGCTCTGTTCCTGGTTTGAACCAATGGCAGAAGGGACAATGAGGAATAACGTTTCTCCACAACCTCTTACTGCTAAGTCTAGAGGAAGGAGGCCAGTTAGTGGACTATAGATTGGGAACATATAGCTGAGAAAATTCTGGTTATGAGCTTCCCTTTCTTCTCTGAGTGCTGATACTTGTGTGTGACTCACAAGCAGTACTCACAAAGTAGAGGATGCAGGTACTACGGATGATTGCAAAATCACCATGCCAAAGAATGTCAGCAGAGGAGGCTTGGACCAACTCATAATGCCTTATAAATTCACAGATGGAAATTTGCATAGATGCTTTGCAAACGTCAAGCAGACACATTTCTTCGAGTAAGGCAATTGAAGCCATCTGTGCTCCTGTAGAGAAGATTATTCCCCTTGGGAGGGAAGAAAAATAAAATATGATACAGCTAGATAGGCACTTAGGGCGTGTATATACTGCTCTAGTGTTATTTTGAAATAACAATCTGAACGTCTACACAGCCATTCTGTTATTTTGAAATAATTACAAAATAACGGATGGCTTATTCTGAAATCTGCAAACCTCATTCTACAAGGAATAATGCCTATTCCAAAAAAAGCTATTTTGAAATAAGGAGTGTGTAGACGCTCTACCGCTGTTATTTCAAAATAGCCCCTCACCAGGGCCATTACAAGCTATTCCTCCTCAGTGCCTCCTGGGGCTCTAAATCAAGATAGCACGTCTACATTAGGGAAGGCTGCCTTGGGCTAATTTTGAGGCTTCCCTGAAGTGTAGACATGCTATTTCAAAATAAGTTATTTTGGAATAACTTATTTTGAAATAGCCGTGCAATGTAGACGTACGCTTAGAGATTCTCTAGAGGAAATAGCCCCCTGAAAGAAGGTGACATGCACCAATTGCCAGCATGTGACACCTTATTTAGCTAAGGGAAAGAATCTCCTTACTGTCAAGAAGTCAGGCATCTAAAATACAGGGATATCTGTTGAATCAGAATCACTGGGTCCAGACAGAAAACACTCCAACTTAGCAAGGTAACATTTTCTTGCAGAGTTCTTTCTACTATTAGCAAGCACACCTTGTGCCAATTGGGAACAGGAACACTCTAGGTCAGTGCCCAACAAAAGCCCAAGCCATAAGGTGAGAAATTTCTGGACTGGGATGTGTGCCGGACGGAAAGCATAATTATTTACAATTGGTCTGACATACTCAGGAGAACTGGAAACCCCAACTACTCTCATTTGCTCAGTACCTACATTGTTTGAATCAGCCAAACCAGAAGGCATCAGAAAAGTACATGATGCTGAGGCTCCCAAAACAGCAAGGCAAATGTGACTAGATTTCAGAAAGTTGTATGTAATTGGATGTCTGTCACACTGTGGCTTGGAATCTGTCCATATGGACACAAGCCTCTACCATGACTCAGTTTTAAGGTTGCTCCTATGAAGTCTAAACTGAGTCATCACAGGCTGAGAACAGATCTGAATCCTTTTGTCTTTTTGAGGATCAGAAAAACATTTAGACTAAAAGCATCTCCCTCTTAATGTTGAAGGGGCACATGTACTATTGCTCCTGATTACAGTAGGAATTTTACCTCCTGAAAGAGGGTGTTCTTGTGACAGTGATCCCTGAAAAGGAACAAGGATCTCTATGGAATATCTAGAAGAGATTACATCCACTACACATTTTCCATGGTTATTGTCCTCCAGTTGTGGAAAAAACATGTTGGGTATCCATCAAAGTGGATTTGGAGTTGGATAGAGGTGGCACCAACATTTGTTTGTAGTTCTTGAGCATCCAATAGTAACCTTTGGTTGGGGGAGGAGAGGTTAAGTTAGGTACATATAGTAGAGAATGGATGGGGCACTCAATTTTTGCACCCTTTGATGGCTCATAATAGCATTGGTGATGTAATGGCTGCTATAATAAGTTCTGCTTGTACAGTTATGTACGGTACTTCCTCTGTAGAGCTGGTATATGCATGCCCAGGGAGCGAAGGGTTACCCCTGGAATCCTTTAGTGAACGTAATGCTTTGTCTGTCTTCTGGTCAAAAAGATAAATTTCTTCAAATGGAAAGTCTTGCATGGGCTCTGTACCTCCCTGGGAAGCCCTGAAAAGCAAATGGAAGATTCCTGGCATATCACTGTAGCCATCATCATGAATCTTGAAACACCATCAGCAGAGGTGACTGCAACTTGTAGTGAGACTCCTGCCACTCATCTGCTTTTATTAAAAAGGGCTTGAACTTGGGCCCTATTTTTCTGGGGTTAAAAAACGTACTAATTGTTTGTAACTGCTGTTATTTGAGATGTGAGGCACATGTGCATTTCACTCTTGGTGGAGCTACTGGAAATTTTTACCTTGCTGGTACACAGTAGGGTGGCTTGAATGTCCTCTGTTGCTGCATGCTAGCAGCACTGGCATAAAGGGCTCAGCTGACTCCAAACTCCTCCCTCTCCATTCCTACTTTCCATATAACTTCAATAGAGAGAGGGAAGAAGGTGGATTGCAGAACGAACATGTGAAACTTTCCCAAAGATATCCCAGTTACAAAAGGTTAGTAGCCATTTTTTCCTTGAGTGACTGAACATGTGCATTCCACCATTGGTGACCGACAAGCAGTAATATTGGCAGAGGGATTGGAGATCATGTACACGTAAGCTGAAGTACAGCTCAATCAAACTTGGCGTCATCTTTACAGTAATGGGTGGTAGCATAACAGGAGGTCAAATGTGCACTGATGGTCTGGTTACTACTTTACTTTGTCCTGGGGAGAAAGCTGTATGAGGACCACCGCTACAGTTCCTTATAATATTGTGCAGCAGTCAGCTTGTCTGGGGGGGGGAGAACTGCCTGCCAGATCATAACACACAGACACAGGAAGTTATCTGGGATGAAATTATTTGAGGAGAGACTGGAAGACCTTTTCATTCTGTCCGCTATGGCCATGAACTGCAGAGTGGGCTGCTGAAACTCTTTGATGTTCTCTATGTAAAACATCAGTGCTTGTCCAATATGTATAGCTGATGCTTGCCCCAGTCCTGGAAAAATACAGGCACGTAAACTGATTGGCGGATATGAAAATTTGATACTGCTTAAGAGAAAACTCAAACAAAGGCATAACCTTCCAAAGTATGAGTTTTGCTGAACTCATCGTTCTAGAAGGGCACAATTTTTCCCCAGACCAACTTTAACTTTGTTCTCAAGTTTTTGCCTTTTAATTTCCTAGGTTTTTTTAAACAAAAATGTTCGTTGGTAGGTTTGTAATGGACATGTTAGTATGGTTACTTACTAGACAGAAGACCTAGATGCTCTCCATTTAACTATAGCAAAGAGGCAAAAAAAAAAAATCTAGGCATTGAATAGAGATCTATTATTTTTAGCAAGAAGATCATTCATAACACACATTCTGGATGAAGTAATATCAATATAACATGTTAAGATATGTACTCTATTAGAATTAGAGATGTAAAATCCCATTTAATTGGTTAACTGGTTAAATTCTAAGTTTAACCAGCTAACTGATTCAAACGGGAGGTTTGGGGGGGCAGGTGGAAGGGCTGCTCCAGCCCAGCTGGACTGGAATGACCCCCTGCTTGCTGCCACACACTGGAGCACCCTTGGCCCATCATGGACAGGACCACTGCAGACCGGGGCTGTGCCAGCACAACCTGAGCAGCTTTATGCCCGCAGTCAGTGGGGGGTTACTTCAGCCCTTACTAGTAAACCATAACCAGTAAGCCTCACCTGTTCAGGGTGAGGATTGCTGGTTAACCATTAACATCCCTAATTAGAATCTCAATTCAGAGATCTTCCAGAGATACTTAAGAAGCTGAGATCTTTAAGCCTGAATTCAATACATTTTTCATATATCAACCTTTTATAATCTACTTATTTTAAATATCTAAATAATTAAATATCTAAATATTTTATATTGTTCAAACCCCAGCTTTGTCATTTTCATCCAAGAATGGAGCTGCATTATCATCTAAACATTTGCTTTGGCAGTTTTTTCACCTCTATGGTTTATTATAACAGATTGCACATTAGAATATTTGGAGACTAGAAGAAAATTGTAAGAAAACAGCTTAAAATTACAGGCATTTTGCCATTAAGTCTACTCTCAAAGGCAATAAAAAGAGGCTTACATAGTATCAGTAAAAAGGTACCTTTTGAACAGCTTCAGTAAACTTTTCGTCTTGAAACATTTTGAAAAACTCACACATAAATGTCTCCTTGAAACTTGACTAAAAAACAAGACAGAGTTATATAAACTGATATCTAACAAGATGATTCATACAACAAATACATCAAATAAGAATGTTAATATACTTACAAGCTTGCTTTTGGACAAACTTCCCCAGCTCCCCAGAGTTTGGATGGTTTTTGATATAAGAGTTAACGTTCTAGAAGTTTGTACATCCTAAAATAAATAATTTTAGGAAACAAATTGAAGATCCCCTTTACAAAATAGGGATTCAGCAAAATGACTGCCCTACTTGATTTGCTACACATTTTCAGCTAGAGAATAATGTAAATTCTCATGAGAAAATTTAAATATCTACCTTCTTATATACAAGTTCATATTGCTCCCATCACTGTAGTATCTGTGGGCCTTCTAGTAGTGCATTAAACCAGCAACTTGCGAGGTATTATCATTTATTCTCAGTCACTCCCATATAAGAGAATTGTGTGCACAAAGTAGCATTTTGTTTTGGCAGGCTTTTTTCTCTTTAAATTTCAATAGTTTGTTGGTTGTTAGGGTTTTGCAGTTATTTTCTATGTCCCCCCCATTCCCCAACATACTGCTGCTAATAGAGCTGGTGGGTAAATAGGTATTTCCCCTGGAAAGTTTCAACTTTTTGTTGACAAAAAAACCTTAAAATTTTTAAATACTTTTTTCCCTTCTGGTTTATGGTACAAAATTAAATTTTCCACAGGAAGCTAAAAAAAGTTTTGTCCAAACCCCAATCTTCTTTAAAAATGGTTTACATAGGAAGTTTTCAACCAGCACTAGCAATAAACTAACATTGATTGAGTTTTTCACATTTTCTAAGATATACCAAACAGTGTTGTAAAGCAAATACAACAGTACCCTGTGAGAGACACTGTTGTTAGTAATTTATTGCTGCTGATCAACATGAGAAATGGAGAATTTTATGGTTCAATCCCAATTTTTTTTTAAAGTTAAAGGCATATTTATAGTCTATAAATATATACTTGCAATCTCAAACTAGCTAGCTCTTTAAAAAGGGAGCAACACTCAGTCTCATCTATGACTAATCAGAGAGATGACAAGGGAGGAGGTTTCCATGTGAAAGAGTCTTGCAACGTGAGCCAAACCAGATGGGACCTGATTACAAGTGTCTGGTTCAGGTCAAGAGGGAAAATAGCCAGACCTTCTTGGGCTTTGGCTGGCTCTCCTCCTCTTGCCCATGGGCTTGGGGAAGCAGTGGCAGGACCTGTTCTTGCCAGTCACTACCACCTCTCTGTATTAAGTGCATTACAGAGTAAGTAGGTCAAGAAGTCACTGCCCTTCACACTCCAGGGCGGCAGATGGCAGAAACAAGGCAAGGGCACATGAATGTAGCTACTGCCAAGCCCAGGCCTCATAGAGGAGGATATGGTGGTGCTGACTCAGGTTCAGTGTTGGGTCAGGTTTAGTGTTGGAAAACAATCCCCCAAGATGTGGGTCCAGCTATGTCTGAGCAGACCTCTACTGTGGCAGAAATGGAAAAGGGGAAATGTACCTGCTTTGCCTTTTATGATTCCAAGTATTAATTTTATTGATGGGTCTTTACACCATACGGAATCCATTTACTGTCAACTGTGCGTATTGTTGCACAATGTCTTTGGACTCATGGCTAAACTTAAGAATATTTTTCTTTTGAAAATACCAAATGCATGGATAAGATATGTATGAAATTAAATACAAATTAGTCTCGGAGAGCTTTAAGAGGATTTTTTGTATGTAAGTATTAATTAAATTGCTAATTCCTATGCTTTAACATTTTCCAATATAAAATTTAGACTAAATATTTATGTACAAAATTTTGGATGGGCATTTTCCATATTACAATCATTATATTCATATAATCAGGTAACAGTATTATATATACACACAACTTTTTCTATTCTGTTGAACATCTGGCAATACAAGCATAACTGAAGTCCAGATTATTGCGAAAATTAGCTACCCTATACCATCACAGAAAATGTTTCTTCCTGCAACTTCCATTTGAGAGACTAGGGGGAGAAGAGAGATTTTCAAAGGCACAACTGACATTTATGCCTAACAACACAGTTAGGAGGAAGGAAATCAATGGAACTGAAGTTCAAAACTGCCATTCTTGTCTTTGGAAAAAATCTCTCCTTAAGATTTTACCTCCAAAGAACAGCACCTTCCCCTTGACACCTTCAAAATATTCTCCATTAAAACAGCTCCACATTTGACAGTGTCCACTATAAACTATTAGCCACCTGCCTCCCACAAAACCACACATCCATAGTTTCCTTAAGCTAGATGTGAAAGGAAAACCCAACCTACATAAAATAAATGTCTTGATTTTCTTTTTGAATTGCAGAGCACAGCCAGCGAAAGAAGCTTTATTTCTATGCATCTTTCTATCTAAAGAGATGGGCAGATTATGAGAAAAAGTGATATAAAACTTTACCAAAAAACTTACTGGATGGTGAGGTCGTAAATGAAAAGTATGAGGTGAGACTACAGCGACAGCAAAGAAACGAAGAAACACAAAGCTGCTCACTGCAGAATACTGTACATGAGGGTCATCTGCAGAGAAAAATCATGAAATGTAACTAACTAAGCTTAACAAGGAAGCAATGAAGACAGTCAAAATGAAACCTTATGGAGACAGCATCAATAGGGAACAGACAACTATTTTTGTATAGAATAGAATTAATGAGGTGCATGAAATGAAAAGGTGGCAATGATGAGATGAAAATATTCTGTTATTGCTAATGCTGGCTTAGTTCCACCAGGGTTAGCAACACAACACAGCATTACGAACTAGTCTATTCAGAGCTGAGTTTAAAAGAAATCCAAATATGGTAAATTTAAGGTATGAAAATACAATTAAGATATCCAAACACAATCTTGACTCCATCCTGTAATAATATCATGAAACCATATTATTATTAGTACATACATTTTGTAGTCTCAGATTAGATAAAACCGATTTAAGAGACACTAATTTCTCCAATTTCCATTTTTTCATGTTACCACTCGGTGGCATCAGGGCTGTTTGGTGCCTTAACTATTTATTTCTTTACAAACCTCCGCCCGGCCCCCCCTCCTCAATCGCCAGAAGAGAGAGAGCAGGACTTGAAAGGAAGAGGCCAGAGCCTCCCCTCCCCTATCTTGCCCAGGGGCACGGAAAGCCTGTTGGCTCACCTGTTTCTGTAACTTAACGTGTTTGGATTTAACCTTAATGCTACATGTAAATATCTGCAAAATTTGTACAACACCCAGTGATGTTTTTACTGTTTTATGCCTAACAGTATAGTGGGGCCATGGACTTAGCTGAGAGCAGCTTGGTTTCACTGAGACAGTGACCATTTTCAAAGTACTATCTATCTTACAAAGATAGCTTCCCCAATTATCACCTCTAATATTATTAGCTTACAGACATTTACCTTCCCCCTCCCCCTTCCCCTTCTGTTCTGAAATTGATTTGTCCTTTTCATGTGTGTTCATTTTTTTAATTGTATCCTTTGGTATATATGGTTGTGACAATTTTCTTCCACTATTTGATTTGAGGAAGTGGGTCTGGCCCACGAAAGCTCATCACTTAATAAACCATCTTGTTAGTCTTTAAAGTGCTACATAGTCCTGTATTTTGTTTCAGCTACACCAGACTAACACGGCTACATTTCTATCACTATCTTAACTGATGGCATCTTGTCTTCAGTGCACTTGACCATAGCAGGAGATAGCAGTCATTTTGAAAGAGAGCAGTTCTCCATGGAATTCTCTGTAGAACATTTGTCAGCCTCTACTAAAGAAGCCACTTTCAGTCACAAATGACGACACAAAGCCCTTCTTTGGAATAAATGTCTTCACCTGCGGCAATGCATAAGATGCCACTGAATTATTGCTCACTCCTCAACATTAAGTCTACCCCCACTGCTGAGGCAGAACCTATGTACCTAGAACATGCCTGACAGATCTGTTTGTCTCATCTCTTCTTAAACAACTCCACTGAATGACATTACAAAAACTCCTTTGGTAACTATTTCAGTGTTTAACTAGCCTTATAATTAGAAAGTGTTTTCCTAATATCCAACCTAAAATCTCACTAGCAGCAAATTCAAAGCCCACTACTGCCTTTCCTATTTTTAGTGGACATGGAGAACAATTGACCACCATCCCTTTATAATAGCCCATAAAATATCTGAAGACTTACTGGGTGTCTCCCCCATCCCTGCACACCATCTTCTGTACTCAAGATTAACATGTCCAGTTTTCTCCTAAAACCTTTTATCACTTTTTCTGCTCTCCTTTGAACCCTTCCAATTTGTCCACATACTTCTAAAGCATTGACACAATACTCCAGTTTAGACCTCACTGCAGCCACGCAGAGATGCACAATTAACTCTTCTATCTTACTTATTGCACTCCTGTCAATACATTAGCTTCCTTCCCCCACCAACTACATCACATTATTGACTGATATTCAATGTCTGACTCACCATAACCCCTAGATCCTTTTTAGCAGGTACTAATGCCTACCCAATAAAACTCGAGGTTGTACAGTAGTTTTACTACAGTATGTCAGGCGGAGAACATTTTGTTACCAGGTCAACAAAATATACCATGCAGTCTAGGAGAAGCAAGAGCTTTTCATAAGACAACTAGAGAGAGTAAGAAGAAGTTTTTTAAAACAAGAGTTTTTTTTAAACACTTACTTGGAAATCTTTTGGCAGCTAGGCGTCTCAGAGAGTAAAACACATCACACATTAATGTAGGGCAACTTATACTTGACTGTACAATTGTATTGAATACTTTATCTACATAGTAACGGAGATTCTCCTAAAAGGATGAAAACAGATATTTTTTCAGAATGTTAATGGTTCTGTTAACTACAACACAGCACTTTTTTTATTCCTATGGACAAACAATGGCATGGTACATATGATATATTGTCCATTACTTAATATAGGTGATCTCTTCAACTACCTAATTTTAGTAGTATACTAAGAGGTATATTAGTAACCCTCACTGAATTTCAGAATTAGAAGGCCAGTGGAAAGTACACTATTGGTTTCTTGTAATACAGGATAGCACCATATACACAGCCTTTCAGCAATACAATGGCATGCTGGCAAGATAGGTATCTCCCTAACATTCCTCATCATTTAATGCTTTGCTGATTCAACTGCCATCAGCAGATGTCACCAGCTGGTATGGCTTAATCATAACACTGGTAAGTGAAGAACTCACTGAATGAAGCTTTAAACAAAGTTAACCATGAAAACAGTGACTATATCAGTGTTTCTTAAACTGTGTTCTGTAGCACACTCGTGCGCCCTGGAGAATAGAATTCAGAATGGCTGCCCTTAAAGGGGCAAGTGACCCTTTTTTTGCTCAATAACTTTCCCCCTCAACTCCCCCCTCCTCAGCTTCCCCCCGCCCCTTCTCCCTCTCCCCCTGCCCCTGACCTTTTTTGGGGGGGAGGGGGTTCATCCCAAAATCCTTGGTGTTCCTCATTAAAAAAAATTATTGTTTGGTGTTCCTCGGTCTTAAAAAGTTTAAGAAACACTGGACTACATCATCTGCTGCATTAATAAGAATTCAGATGGGGGAAGGTCAGTATTCAGTATGCATGCAAAACTTGAAAGATGAGTAATGTTTGAAGTGGAGAGCTACCAACAAGGGTTGGTCTACTGATGCCCCACACTATAGCATCAGTAACACTGTAGGAACAAAGTACAAGGGAATTGTACCAATACTAAAAGCAGAGCATGTTCAAATGTTACCCATGCTAAAATGAAAGTGATCTTTTATACAGCTGTATCAAATTTAGTTAAGAATTAGGAAATTCATTAGGATGGAAACAAATTAATTAGGACGTTTACCTTGTGAACTTCTACATTATCACCTTCTTTTAATTTGATGGGATCAATTTCACAGGGTTTAGGGGACTCACATATCTGAAAATGTAAATTGAAATCTTTTGGTTAATTTTTTTTAAGTGACAAAAAGCACAAATATTAACTAGTTAACTACGGTAGACTTCCGATAATCCAGCAACTTTTGGACCTAGGTGGTGTTGGATTATCAGATTTGCCAGAGAATCGGGAGGTCAGGTACAACTGCCCGGCTTAACACAATCTCCCTCCCTCCCTCCCTCTCCTCTTCACATCTCCTCCATGCTGTAACCTGATCCTCCTCCTCCTTGCATCCCCTTTCCCCTTTGCTGAAGCAAAACACTCTTCTCCCTCTAACAGGATCCCACTCCCTCCTCCTCCCCCCTCCCAGCCTTATGCTCCTTCTGGTTACAGCCAGCACATGTGCTGAGCAGTAGGCTTTTTAATCAGCTGGTCAGAAGCGCTTGGCATTTTGATGCTGTAGTATCGGGAGTGCCGAACAGTTGGATGCCGGACTATCGGAGTTTTACTGTATACTAATTTTTCAATATCTTCTGATATTAAAAGAAATCAGCTAAAAACAAGCCCTGAATCTGAAGGACAAAATAGTAAATATTTTCTCCATGTTCCAGAAGGAATGGACAGTATGCAAAGAGCCTACCTTATCCTCATTTATCTACACAAGAGTCAGGCACTGTGCTCTTAAATCAAAGAAATACTCTGCCATGAAGAACCTCCCTGTGCCACGGCACGCACCAGTAGAAACGCTGAGACTGGTCAAAGTGTGGTACAACAACTATTGTCCTTGTTCTGTTCTTGCTGAAACTGCCTGGCAGAACATTTCCAGGAGTTTCTGTGGGGTCTGAAACAATTACCTTGGACAAGCGACTTAGCTCATAATACTTGCTTATAGATTAAAATATATACTACAGAACCATAACCTGGTGCACATGCTACTGTCATATCTAAATATATAATATATTCTTTATACAAGAGAGCTATAGGAACCAGAAAAGTACGTATTAACAGGAGATGGTCTCATCAGAATACTGCAAAAATTTAGAGTAAGATCCCATACCTCATCTAGAACTGGCTTTAACGTAACTTTTAGGTAGTGCTTTCCCACTATTTTCATCATCTCATCTAGGCATCGAGTAGCTAAGGTGTTTCCTCTGAAGATTGTGTTTACTTCTCTGTAACAAAAAAGATTAAATCAATTTAAACTAACACACACACAATACATCTAAGCATGACTACTATTTAATGCTACTACTACATAAATTCATGTTTAGACATTTGCTGGAAAATATTTACTATATTTAAACCAGAAATTGCCCACTGAGATTAAACATCTGGTTTCCAAGAACACTGAGGTACAGAAAGAGAAATAACAATAACAACAACAAAGAAAACAGTCCCCTTACTGTAGTCAAACTTAATATAAAAATCAAAATGTGCCATTATGGACAATCTAAATCAACAAAGAAAGAAACTTGTGAGAAAATGCAATTGGAGAAAAAGATATTGCTGAGCAGTATGCTACTAAAATATAGACTAAATAATCTTCAGTCAAATATTTAATTTAAGGCTGTACTTTGGATGCAGCTATTGAATAAATGCAAACAAGTTATATACTGAGCTATAAAAGAGGTGTTTATAGTTTGAAAAATCCAACTTAATTTTAAATTACAATAAATCATTATGATGGAAAAACATGTGCACACTAAAAACTTAATATAAATTATCCCATAAGAATTACACTTTAAAAAGTATTAATGGTTTAAAATAGATAGATTTTTAAAATATAGGTAGGCTTGCCAGGATTGATTTTAAATTATACTTGTCAGTAAATGTCAATTTCACCTGACACACTGAAATTAACAAAAAAATAAATCATTGGTAGCAAAAACAGCTCCCCAACCCTTACTGCACCTAGTGCCTGTAAGGGTTGGGGAGCTGTCAGGTAAGGTGTGGCTCTTTGACAGCTGAGCTGCAGACACAGGGCTGATTAGTAACACAAACTCTGGAAGCACAAGGTAGGCGAGAGGCTGCTGTCATGCTGGGCAGAAACAGAGCAGAGAATTCCAGCCAGAGCCACAAGAAGAATGGGTGGGAACCAGCATCAGGGTAGCCTCCCCCTCAGCTAGGAGCTCATTCTCCCCCCTCACTCACAGGAGTCAGAGAGCTGTCCCTGAGCTTGAACTGTTCAGCAGTAGCCTGCAGCCAGGGGCTGTGTGTCAGCCATATATCCCTGGCCAGAAGTCTCTGTTCTGTGGGACCAGGACTGCAGCTTCTCCTGCACCTTACACCTCAGTGTATAGGGTCCCCTGGCTATTAAGGGAGCCCTTTGTAGTCCTGATGTCAGTGGGGGGGAGGGGGGAGAATCCCCTTACCCTAACATCCTTAGTTTTCAGCATCCGTAAAAGGAAGTTAAACACTATACATGGTTGAAATTAGAAACAATACAATCTGAATTCTGTCAAACCTAAATATAAACCAGATTTTTCTCACCATATGCAAAATGGAAGAAAATACACTTTTCAGAGGTGATCTGTATGGTAATGGAATCGATTCCTTTCCTAACTCTACAGCACATAACAGCACCTCAGTGGCAACTACTGTGTTTTCTGGGGGCCTTCCGAAGAGCTATTTACTTTGTGTCCCTGGTCCCAAAATATGGGGGCATTGGATTGACCCATGCATATATGTAAATGCATACCAATAGGCCCAGTTGCTGGTCCCCATCCCCCTGTGTCCGACCCCATGCCACCAAAAGCGGGTGTTTTAAGCTTCCATGGTACAGCTTTCAAGATGCAAAGGAGGGTGTGAATGCCAAGTGCATGGGATTTCCACACTTACACAGTAAAACAGAAACTGTGTTGCCTTTCAGCTCAGAGAAGACAGACTTGGGTATAAACAATCTTTTAAAGCAGAGTAATTGTAGACTAATGACCTACAAAATTTTCCAGAAAATGGCCAAAATAATTTTTAGAAACAAAACACAAAATAAAACCCAATTGCTATTGAACACTATTCCAGTATGTCACATTTAGTTATATAACAACTCAAAGAAAATGCAACAGCCAAAGCAGCTCATCAAAAAGAGGGCTATGGGAATTCTGATCCTCAGCTAGAAGAGTATTATCAAGTGCTGTTACAATAAAATATTCAATGTCATGTGACTACATGTAGTTACAGTAACAAACATAAGAAAACAAAATGAGTGACCATTTATCAAAAATTGATCATAAAATGGTTCAAAACTCTCTAATTAAAATACCCCATGTTAAAATCAAATTAGGGA